CCCCTATATAAGGCTACCTATCTCATTTATTAGTGTAATAAACATTTGAATTGAACTAAAATTACTTTCCCAAGGTGGTTAATATCAGAGTGTTGACCATTTCATCAGAATTGCTTTTAGAGGTAACTTTTTATGGAAGACAGGAAAAGGATAGAACAATTCGAGTGTTTTATCATGTTGCCTTGTAAAGGGTTTTCTAGATTTTAAATGATTTTTTTTTATTATTGGAAATCTAGACTTAACAGAATATAGCTGATGCTATTTTCATTTTCTAATCAGGCCTCTCCATTAATAGCCTAGGGAAGACCCTAAAATTTCCCTCCTTGTAAAAAAAAAACTTTTCTAGTGAAATCTATATATATTTTTTGTTTTTTATTGACTGTCCTCAGACCAAGTCCTCTGACTTTAATATAAACCTCCCATATTTTCTCTTCAGTATTTCACTAGATTAGAAGCTTAAAATATGGATACTACCTCCAAAAGTGCTGATTGCTACCCATCTGTCCTTTGCAACCCTTGTCCATTTCCTCCTGTAAATACACACCACTGAGTCCATCTTGTATGCTAAGAGCCTTCCTCTGATCTCCTGACATTACCTAGGTATCAATGCATCTGTTATCTATTATCCTTTTCCTGCCTCCTCTTCCAGTAATAGATTGCTTTGATATCTTTTATGGTACTTCTAGGATGCAATTTGTTATTGTTAATATGCCCTTTGGGTGACTTATAGTTTTGATTTGTTGGATATTTTAGCCATATAGCATTGTTGGAAGAATATTTGTATAAAATGGGTGGGATTTTATTTCAGGGTACAATTCTCTTCATTGAAATTTCTGTGTAATTTATCAAATGTAATCCAACCCACCTTCTTTCTATTCAGTTCATAGTTCACTGTCTCTCTATAGTGTCTGTCCAAGAGTTATGTACTAATGGACTATCTAATGTATAACATCATCTGAATAATAGACCTTTGTCCATTTGTGTGGATAGTTAGGCCAAACTCATTTGAAGGCTTGATGCAGTCTTTCACGATATCATCCTTAAATAGGAACATTTGAGTATTGTTGTGTACTATAAAGAATCCCCCTTACATTTGGATTCTGAATTGACTCTCCTCCATGACAATTGTAAGCACCTTTGGGCATACATGTCTCCTTGTTCTATGTCTTAATTGACATGAGTTATCTCTTACTTAGGTATCCCTCTTGTGCTTGATTGAGTGAATTGGAATTCCTCTGTCGCACTTAACACATCAATTTCAATGTCTAGGCCACAATCTCTCTATCACCTTGAACTTATTTAGTAACATAAGGAGGAATTTCTTCACTTCATTATCTCCAAATATGAGTCTCATGTAAAATGAAAGGGTGGGAATAAGTGATTTGTAAAGCCCTTGCTAGTTCTAACAGTCTTTTCTTTTGGAAGTTATTTATTTATTATTTTTATTGCTATATCACATTTTTTCTCTCCCTCCCTCACCTCCCTCTTCCTTGAGACAGCAAACCGTTTGATATAGGTTATATATGTTCAAGTATGCAAAACACATTATGAGATTATGTTGTGAAAGAAGACAGACCCAAAGGAAAAAAATCCTTGAAAAAATACAGAAAGTGAAAATAGTATGTTTCAATCTGCATTCAGGCTGCATGAGTTCTTTTTCTGAAAGTGGATAGCATTTTCCATCATGAGTCCTTTGGAGTTGTCTTGGATCATTATAATCTGAGAATAATTAAGTCATACGTGGTTGATCATTGCATAGTATTGCTGTTACTATGTACAATGTTCTCCTGGTTCTGCTCACTTCACTTTCGTATTTAAATCTTTCCAGGTTTTTCTGAAATCTTCCTGCTCATCATTTTTATAGCACAGTAATATTCTATTACACTCACATACCACAACTTGTTCAGCCATTCCCCAATTGATGGACATCCCCTCAATTTCCAATTCTTTATCACTAAGAAAAGAATTGATGTAAATATTTTTGTATAATTAGGTCCTCCCCACCTTTTTAAAATCTCTTTGGATACAGACCTAGTAGTAGCGGTATTGCTGGATCAAAGGGTATGTGCAGTTCCATAGCCCTTTCGGCATAGTTCCAGATTGCTCTCCAAAATGTTGGATCAGTTAACAACTCTACCAACAGTGCATTAGTGTCCTGATTTTCGTCCATTCCATCCCACATTTATTATTTTCCTTCTCTGTCATATTAGCCAATCTGATAGGTGTGAGGTGGTACCTCAGAGTTGTTTGTAAGTCACTTTTTTATGAAACCTTAGCTTTTTTTTCTCTTTCTTTTTCTTTTCTTTTTTTTTTGCGAGGCAATGGGGTGAAGTGACTTGCCCAGGGTCACATATCTAGTAAGTGTCAAGTGTCTGAGGCCAGATTTGAACTCAGGTCTTCCTGAATCCAGGAATCTATCCACTGTACCATCTATGTTACTTTTTAAAAGTATAATTACAATCAATTCACAGTTTTACCAATAGCATATTAGTATGTCAACATTAATATTTTAGACTTTTGTCATTTTTAAGAGTTTAGGTGTGTGGTGAAACCTCAGCAATCTTAACATTTTATCATTTTATTGTTTAATTTTTGAAGGGCTGTGTGTGTTCAAGTTCATGTTTCTTCTTTCTTCAGAATTCAGAAGGATTTATGAGTTTGGAGTCAGCCACATATTCAACAAACTCAAAATAACTTTGTCACCATGAAAGTTTTATTATCCAGTTCAATAAACACTTATTAAATGCCCATTATGTAGAATGCACTGTGTTAAGCACTGAAGATGAAATTAATAAAGACAGACAATCCTTGCTCTCAAGAAGCTGACAAACTAATGGGAGGGGGGAGAGACAACATATAAAAGGAGGAAGGTAAAGGGGAGGGGGAGATGCCAGAGTTATATGGTGTGGTGACATCTTGTTCCCTGGAGTTGAAATCAGGCAGAGCAGCAGACACAAAGTAGAGAGTTGAGCTGAGCATTGAGTTTCTGTCCTCTATAAAGGAAGGCATTGGGAGGAGTTGGGTACTCCACCCCCCCAGTCCTCCTATCAGAGGAGAGAGGAAGCTGAGGGAGGTGGGGTCAGTCAAGGCTTGAGTTAATAGCCTGGTGGTGAGTTGAGAAGTGATGAGCTTATCCCCGAAGGAACATCTTGTTCCAGAGAGTTGAAACTCTGAAATAGGCAGGGCAGCAGATGCAAAGTGAAGTGAATTTAAAAAAAGTTAGAAGCTAATGCTTGATTTTAGCAGAACAATTGAAATGCTATAAAGATCTTCGAAAACAAAATTGAAACACTACTAGTTTATTTTAGGAATGCAGTTCTTCCATATTCTGTAGGTTGAATGTATTAGGTATGGTATTACTTGTTTCAGCAGAAATTATTTTTAGTTTCACAGAAGAATCTTCTAGCTTTCTTTGTGATTGTTCCTTTTCTTTAGTCTATGGCTTAAAAAAAATCCAAAACCAGAACTGGAAGAAAAATCTGCTGTCTGTAAGCTGGAATGGCCAGGAAATCCTGCATGAATAAATAAAATGTAATTACCGTTCTGGTTTCTAGAAAGGTCGTGGACATGACTGAAGTAAAACTGGATTGAAGTCAAATTCTCTCTTTCCATTTTGAAAGACTGGAAGGCAAATGAAATATATAACTGAGTTTCTTTACTAATCATATTTCATTGCTGCCCATTTGTGTTTAAGAAGACTGTACATAGTTGAAATCTCTTTGCCATTTGGATTTTGAGAAATTCAGTTTAATACATAGAAAGGGGAAGGGCGTAAGAAGGTTGTTGGCAAATTGTTATTTTTGCAGTTCTGTGGAGTAGTGGATAGAGCAGTGGACTTTGAATCAGAAAGGCCTAAGTGAATCCTGCTTTAGATATTTTCTAGTAGTGTGACTCTGGGCAGGTCACTTAACCTTTCTCAACCTCAGATTCCTCATCTGTAAAATGAAAATAATGACACCTGCCTCACAAGATTGTTATAAGGATCAAATAAAATAACATATAAAGTGCTTTGCAAACTGAAAGGAATATATAGGTGTATATATATACACACACACACACATATATAAAATATGTGTGTATACAAATGCTAACTCTCATTAGCTAGCTATTTTATCTTTATTCTTCCAATAATTTCAATCGATCAAAAATAAAGCATTTATTAAGCAACTACTATGTGCTAGGCATTGTTCTTGGTGCTAGGGATACAAAGACAAAAATGAAACAATCTCCACCCTCAATGAGCTTATATTAGGGAAACAGTATGCACACAGAAACATTATGTGCAAAGTAATTTATGGGGTTAGAGGAGTTAGTACTTTGGGGAGCCAGAAAAGACTCATTTAGTAGATGTTACTTCAACTGACCTTTGAAGGAAGCCAGAGCAAACAGAAGATGGGTTTTAATCCTCATTCTTTCAATGGCTGCCTATATCAGCTGTTTTAAGTTATTCAGCTTTTGTGAATCTTGTGCAAATCACTTTAACTTCGCTGCCTTTTAACTCTCTCTTCTGTAAAATGGAGATAGTGACCTGAAAACACTGGGTTAAGTAATTGAATTAATTTTAAAATATTATATAAATTGTAAGAGATTTTTAAAGGACTTAAAGGAAGGAATAATCAAGAATTGAAAAATTTAATTGTGCTACATTGTGCTAGAAAATATTTTCATGCTTTAATTTTAATTAAAAAGTGTTAGAGGGGCAAGTGTGCTTAGAAAGAATGGTGCGGATTGAGTTGTCATGAAGTTGATTGAGGTTGGACTTTTTCCATCCTTCACTGATTGAATCAGAACTCGTTTGTCAGCCTGACACTACCTACTACTACTATGTTTAGACAACAGTAAGTAGGTAGTATGGGGAGCAATTTTTCAATGTTTTATTTTTCTCTGTTCTCTGTTTGTCAAACTAGATAAGTCAGTTTAGGCTGTTGTGCCTAACAGAGAAATTGTTATATTATACTAAATGTTTATGGTATGTTACTTTGTTTTCCTTTTCTTTATAGTAAACACCTATCTCTTTATGGTACAAGCCCGAGGTATAATGTTGAAAGAAAATGTGAAAACAATAGGACAAATCATCAGACTATACACAAATAAAAATGCTACTCTCAATGGTACAGGTAAGAATATTTACTGTTTAAAATGCTTCACTTTACATCAGATTTCTACTTTAGAGTAAGCAGTAGTTGAAATTATTAAGCACTAGCTTTTCCCCCATATGAATACTTGTTCAAGATGAATATATCCTCTTGTAAATTCACCACTGACTTTTTTTTGAAATACCTTTACCTTCCTAAGCTAGGTATTCTGTGTTGTGTGCATTTTAGAATAGATGAAGGTATGCCTTAGTAAAGTGATGATATTAAGCACAAAAGTATTAGTTTTTATGACAAAAATAAAGTAAAAGCATAAAAGCATCATATAGATAAATTTTTAGAGTTTACTCTTTGTTTTAAGGAGGGATTAGCCACATAAAGATAATTCTGTTTGTAATTTTCAAAGGGCTACTGGGCTTCCCTCATGCTTATTCTATGAAAGGATATTAAGTATAAGTTGGAAGCCAGTAACTCCCCTCAATCATTATAATCTATAAAACTAAAAAGTGGAATTTCTGTTGAAAATATATGCAGAGATTAAAAATTGTGTAGTGTGTTGAATAAATGGATAATCTTAAGGATTTGTTGTATATAGACTTGGCAATTGTGGAGGGAAAATTCATAATGCTTTTTGGGATTTTAAATTCTATTTAATATCATTTTCCCCAAAATGTAAGAACATAACCAATCGAATCTTAATGCAAGGTCATATACACGTACACACACGTGTATACACATACAGATACATATATACATATATATCATTATAATTTTCATGGGAGACAGTATGACAAGATAAGAAGAAGTATATCTTACCTCTGTCATATATTTGCTTTGTGACCATGGGTAAGATACTAAACCTTACTGTGCCCTAGGTGACTCTGAGACTCTGAGTGCCATATGAGTTGGTAATTTACACAAAGGAGGGAATACTGGGAATACCCCACCATAGATAAAATCGAAGATCTGAAAACCTTTCTTGTCCTTATATGTATGTAGGTGATATGATATGTTATATAAATTTTTTTTATCATCAACATCATTTTTACGATTTAGTTTGTGATGCCACAAATAAAAAAGAAAGGTTTTTTTTATTCTTCACCTTTATGATTAGCAACACTTTAAATTTCCAAATATTTGCTACATTTTTAATAGTAGAGAGAAAAATTACATTAATTGACTGTGGTTTAAATTTCTGTGACCAGAAGATCATTTTCTCAGTGGCATCTAAAATGTTTTTTTTTTATTTTTAAAGAAATGATGAGTTCAGAATTCTCATTAATGCCTATTAAAGCTTCTTTAATGCCTAGCAAAGGTTAGTTGTTGACCTTGTAAGTACTTTATATATTGTGTTCATTGCTATTCAACAAATAGAAGAGCTTAAAATTCCCAGCTATTCTTGGAAGGAAAGAATCCACATAATTGGGAGGAAAACATCCATTAGACACATTTGGGTTATTATCATATTTATACAGATGAGCACTATTTAGAGAATCTAAGTCTGTTGTATAATTCAGGGCCCAATGAAGACAGGGGCTTATTGGTAAAAGAACAAAAGAGCCTTGTCTAAGTGGGAAGTAATCATCCATGTGTCCTGTAATTCATTTTACTTTGTCAGTGTTACTGATCAGTACTACAGGCCCAGTAAATATTTGTTGAATCAATTTATGAATCAGTAAATGACTATGGATTGTTGACTTGCCTTTGTGAATTTGTTGAGATATTCGAAATTTTATTGAAAGCAAATTTGCTATTTTAGTGTTGCCATTGTATTTCCTTTATTGGGAAGGGGGGTAGAATTTTGATTTTTTTTTTCCACTTAGGTGTCTGGAGCATAGGACTGCTGGTCGGAGGGGAAGTATTTTTTAGTAAATCTTGGTAGAGGGTATTTGTTTAGGTAAATATATTTAGTGGTTTTTCTTTTATGCAACTGTAGGTTTCTCTGACAAATATAGGCTTATATTTAATACCACTTTAGAAAAGAGCTTTTTGTTTTCTCCTTCAGGTAATTTAATAAAGCTTAGAGATAATTAGAAAATTATGGGAGAAACCTTTTCCCAGAATAAAATTCAAGAATAAAATCATCCCTTATTTTGTGGTTTGGTTGGGGTGAAGGTGGAAATAATCGATTTTTGTCTGGAATGGAAAAGGTCTGTTCTAAATCGACAATTAGGTGAGCGAGGAACAGATACACACAGCCTCAACTTTAGCTCAGAGTAACAAACTTGAATCTTTCCTACATAATTTCATTCTTAAATGTGATACTGAGAATATACTGTGGAGTGCTTTTTATTTGTAGCATACATAATTTTTATTTAATAATTTTATTTGAAAAAAACTCAAATCTGTGTTCCATCTGGCAAGCCTAGGTTTTTAAATCCTGCCAAGCAATCAATTATCAGTCTTTCTAACCAGTTTTTCACACTACCTCTCTCCCCTCTGAACTCACTTAAAAACATTACCCCAATAAGAAACAAAGACAAATGTGTAATAGCAAAAAGATAAAATTCCAAGCAATAAATACCCATCTTTATTTTTAAGGCAATTGGGGTTAAGTGACTTGCCCAAGGTCACACAGCTAGTAAATGACAAGTGTTTGGTCTAAGGTTGGATTTGAACTCAGGTCCTCCTAACTTCAGGCTGGTGCTCTCTCCACCTAGCTGCCCCCTCCATCTTTAATCAGGCTGAAAAAAAGTTTAGCATGGCATCTAAACTATTCCTGAGAGGAAATGGCTTGTAGGGAGCTAGTTTGAGAAGGCCTGTTTCTAACTATTGGAAAAATATTCATTTCTATGAAAATAGAATTTGTATGTGCATATACATGTAAACATACTTGAAATCAAAATTATTTCTGAATTCCTAATTACTGAATTTCTAATGTCAAGTGAAAATCTCTTTAGTAATTAAACAATGATTTTTTTTTTTGCCTGGAATCTCCTATTTCTGAAGTATTGTATTGAAGTATAGTATTGTTTGTACTATAACCAATTAAATTCAATAAGCATTTGGTAAGTTCCTACCATGTGCTAGGTACTCTGTTAAGCATTTGGTAATATAGACAAAACTAAAAAGTCCTTGCCTTCAAGAAACTTACATTTTGCTGACCAAAGTTAGATATCCAGAGCTGTAAGGCAAACACTCTCAGTACCTGTTGAATCATGAAAACTATATTTGTTAAGGGACAGTTTCTGCTGTGGGGACTGTTTGAAGTTACACAACTAGAAACTGTTAGTTGCTGGATCTCAATGAACTGTCTCCAAGTCTAGTGTTCTTTCTACTATGCTCTACTGATTTTCTGCAGGGGAAAAACAGAAACCAGAAACAAACAAATTGAGAAATCTCTTTTCTCATCTTTTTTCTCCATTAGGTGATAATGTATGGAGGACAGTAGAATGGAAGGTCTGCAAAATTATTTTTATTCTTGATCATTGTAGCTGTCAAGAGAGGAGGAATAATAAGTTATTGTTTTTTTTCCTTATTGAGTGAAGTGAAATCATGGCTTCATTTCCAGCTGTTGCCGTGTATAGCTTGCTCTGTATATATTTGTTCACATATTGTCTCCTCCATTAGATTGTTAGCTCTTTGAAGGCAAGAACTGTCTTTTGCCACTTTTTGTATCTCCAGCACTTAGGATAGTGTTTGGAGCATGACGTGCTTAATAAATGTCGCTTGATTTTTTTTTTGTTATTTCATCAATTAGATTGTAAGATCCTTGAGGACAAGGACTTCCTTTTGCTAACTCTTTTTGTATTCCCAGCTCTTAGCACAGTGCCTAGTACATAGAAGGCACTTAATAAATGTTTATCGATTGATTGGATCAGTCTCAAATAACCCATCGTATATAACCTTTTAAAAACATCACCTGCCATAAAAGTGGTGATTCTGATAGATATACTCTTACTTACCACACCCCTTTCTTTACCCTCTTGAGACAGTAGTGGTTTTATGAATTTATTATGATGTTGTCTCTCCAGAAGCTTAGGCAGTTAATTGCCTTTGTCTCACTCATTGGTAAGGGAGGCTACTTGACGGGTGGGCTGGCGGTTAAATGAGGAGAGTTTACTAAGCAGTCTTTTAGGGAGAAAATGTAGATAAATGGTGGGGGAAGGGATCTCTTGTAAACAACAGACAGTATAGCATCTTTTCTGCTTTCTCTGGAATAGCATGGGGTTACTATGAGGAGCTGGAATCATTTAAATCTTGAAATAGTTTTTGCAGTTCAGCCCTTGGATGTTATGTAGGTTATAGAATCATAGAATGACATAATTTGCAAGAGGTGTTGGAATTAATAAAATATTAATTAACTAAAAATAAAATATTCTGCTGGTTTAATACTCTCCTATGTGTTTTAGGTTCTCAGAATCATTTTGATATTTTCTTATTTAGATAATCATAGAATGAGACTCCCTTGGACCACTCAAGGGCAACTTGGAACAAGGAGGACAGTTCTCTGGGCACCATTATATGTTCTTGTGCTTTTAAAAACAGCATGGGTTATTCATAGGACTCTAAGGTAGCAGCATCTTGTTTTTCTTTATGGCTTATATGTAACCATGCAATATTAGAGTTGGAAGGATTCTAATTCGTCCCTCTTCTCCTCCCCCCTTATTTTACAGTGAGGAAAACCCTAGGGTTTTAAAGTGACCTACTCAAGGTCACATGGCAAGTTAATGGCTGAACCAAGATTCAAACCCAAGTCTTTTAACCCCTAGACCAGTGCTCTTTGCACTATACCGGGTTTGGAGTCTAGTGAATTTCCCGTATTATTTTTATCTTATTGCCAGTGGATGCTGGGACTCAAAAGGAAAAATGCATTATACTTCTCTGGTAGTCTAATGAATATCTAAACATTCCCATTATACTTAATTCAACCTTAAGGACATATAATTTCATTGGCAGGGGTACTCCCTCTGCAGATGCTGATTATAATTCTCTTGAGAGATGGCCGTGAGGTTCAAAAATAGTATCATCGTCATCACCACCACCACCACTAGCATTTATATATTGCTTTAAGGTTTGTAGAG